TAAATTTGAAATGGTGAGAAGGGATAAGGATTAGCTAAACATGCATAGCAATTGGAAATCGAGAAAAGTTACCCATTTATTTGCTCACGCTTTCGCTTATTTAAAAGTTTAATCATTTTATAACGAAATAACTTAAATGCAATGCATCCAAATCATGATATCTCCACTTATGAATTTGGGTATTATTTGGGCAACATGAAATTAACACTGCGCGATGCGCGGTGATTCCCTCCTACTCATATTAAATTCTCGACAGGCATTTCTGACGATATCAAATTATTGGTCGGTCTTGGTCCCACAAGACTGCAATATATCCGAACCTGGTAAATTTGACCGATAGCTATTTAATGCAGAGTGAGAGAGCCAAGTTTGTCAAATATTTCGAATGGTAATAAATCTACAAGAACTTCAAAAGTAGGGAGGGGGAAAGGAATAGAGAATTCACTTATATAAAGTTATATTAATCTGTATCTGTCCTTATTCAACTTTTCTTTTAATTGTTCAAAGAAAATTTCAAGCATTATAAGGGAAAAGCGAAAAAAACAAGAATTTAAGAGTCGGACCAAAAATTTCAAAGGCACTTAGATCGTTTTACAAGAAGCAGTTGCACACAAGGAAGATGTTAGTATTTAAGAAGTGGATGCTCACTCACTAGAACAAGAACGCCCTTAGAATTTTAAGAAAAAAATATAGATAGTCAAATTAAAAAATGTATAACAGCTCATATTATACACTTAACACTAAATTACACTTCCAAGAATTCAAGGGGAGATCCATGTCGTGGTCGTGAAACTTTGGGTAGGTTGGCATATTATTACCCTATTCCTATAAAGTAAATGTACATTAAAAAATAGGAGCCGGGGTCAAGCCCTTTTAACTTTCATTCCTATGAATCATTAGGCAACTTGAGCTAGAAACTAATCAATTCCTTTGTTGTTGATCAAGCTTTCACATGTGCTGCAGATATTATTATGTATTGATTGTGAAAGTGGGAGAATATAAAGTTCTGTCTTCACAAATTAATAAAGTTGCACATGAAATCAAAAGTGGTATACGAAAAAGTTGCATACGAAATGAAAGGTGGGATCGCACAAATTTAAGAAATCACCTCTTTCCTCAACACACAAAAAGCAAGGATCATTATTGTAGAATTCCCTTACTTTTTGTAACCTCTCCTATATTCTTTTTCAAAAAAAAAATAAAAAATACTCTCCTATATTTTGGTAAATTAATGTATAGTCTATCTGACTACTTGAAATGGCGAATCGGAAGCTAACACTTGTAAGCCTTGCCAAACGTGGGAGTTGAGGATTACTTTTGTTTTCCTTTTGGATACGCACAGAAAAATTTAATTTTGATTGAGGAAGAATTGTCTTCTTCTTTTCCTTTTTTTTTTTGAGTGGAGAAAGTTAGATAGATAGCGTCACAAGATCTTAAACTTTAATGTAAATTAAACTTTTCAAAAAGAAAAACCAAAGGGGTGTTGTCAGAAAGGTATCAAGAAAACAAGAACCTGAAATATATTTTTATTAAGTAGTAACAAGCACACCAGAAGCATTTTATTCATCACGCTGAAACATGCATGCATAGGTCAAAATCAAAGCATTCAATGAAATCCAATGCCAGATTTTTTCCCAGGGAGGAGAGAAAAAAAAAAAAAGTACTAGCAGGCGAATCAAGTAGCAACCTCAATCTTGATGCCATCAATGGTAAGAGCGGTATTTGGCACCAAAGTCACCAACAGGGCATCGTCGTCTTCGACATCCAAGTCCTCCAAAATCTCAGTCAACTCAAAGGTTTGAGTAGTCTTAGCTTTCATGCCACTTTTAACCTTGTGTGGCAAATTTGCAAAGCTCCCAACGTACTCGGACTTAGCAAAATCGTTTGGATTATCATCTTCATCATTAATGAAAACATCAAACTTAACATACTTGTCCATGGAAAACTCGATCCCGTACACCACCAATCTCTCTTCCTCTTCCTCCTTTTGCCTCTTGCTTCTTGATAATTTGGGCCTCTTGACCAACACTTTCACGATCTTGTTAAGGGGTCCAGGGAAGACCTTATCGGCTGGTGGTGCCCCGGAAGTGAAAGCCACTCTAGATTTTCTCACGCGGGGCACAGGCTTATTCTTAAGCCAGGGAATATCCACCTTTTCGTAAATATATCCCATTCTATCATTACTAAAAGAATCACGAACTTTCACGCGGACAGGCTGAGCATTTTCATCGTAGAAAATGAAGGAAGAATTCAGCCAATCTGGATCGGGGACCTCCTTCCTTTTACCTCCCAATTGTTGCCAAATTGTCCACATCCGGTCCACATTTGCATGATGGCTATAGAACAGAACATCTCTTCCAGCTGAGTAGAAATTACCCAAATCTTCACCATTTGGCTGCCTTGGATCGCCGACCCACCTGTGGAGTGGAATATGGGGACTGGCCTCGATGGACCCTGCGCCAGCAAAGGCATTGGGCTCATCGCCGGCCCGGTATTCCTTTCCAAAGAAATCTCTGCCAGTGGTGGCATTAGAGACCATTTGACGGTACATGATCGCCAAATTGTTTTCTATCCTTTCTGTGCATGTTGCATCTCTATCCGTACCATTATACCCCAAGTCCACGACCGTTGGTGGCAGATGACTTTGGTTACGATTTTCGTTATACAATGCTGACGATTGGTCCATAAATATGGACGGTATGGTCATGCCACCAATGTTGTCCCAGTTCCAAAAGGGCAGTCCAAAACTGGGATCGCCTATTAGCTTTCCCAAGATTCTTTCATAGAAGTACAAATACCATCTATGAAAAGGGAAGAATAACCACGAGTAATGGACTGAAATTTCTTGATCAGAGCCTGGTTGGACGTAGGCACCATTGCAATAAGCGCAATGAACATTTGCTTGTTGGGTAAAATTACGGGGATCATCAGCTGGCAGAGCTTTCATGAGCTCGACCGCCTTGTTAAGTTTTTCAATATAGTCTTTCTTGACCAAATGAGCAGCTGGCCTAAAACGGTTCACCTTAGGTGGTGGAGGGAGTTTGTAGTCAATGACTTTGCCGGGCACCGGCGGACAGCAATTGTCAGTGACAACTGCTCCTGGAGGTAAGTCCGCCGGTGGACCGCATTTGGAGATTTCTGGGGCGGCTATAGGAGCTGCCATGGCAAAAGGGTTGATGATGAGGTTTGAGGCGCCATAAAGGCCACCCAAGCCCAAAAGCACATCCCTCCTATCAAGATTGTCAACTTGTTCATGGCTTTCATTGTTTTTGCATGAAACCGTGAACTGACGATAGTTACGTTTGGCACTGAGGTAAAACTGTGATGGCTTGGTTGAGAAAGGGCAGGAGGACAGAGTGGAGGTGGAGGAGTAGGCAGTGGAGCTTTGAAGGGGAGTTGAAAGAGATGCCATTGGCTAGTTTTCTTTAGGGGGATGTTGTAGCGAAGAAGCTAAGGGAAGCTCCTGTTCTTATACTGAAGCAATTGGCGACCCCGTGTCACTGACGTTTTTATTTTTCTTCTTGCTAAATAGAAGAACAGCGTTAAACACGTGATTTTGAATAACTGGGTTAAGATTCAAGGACCACAAGATTTTGCATAATTGGGTTAAGATTCAAGGACCACAAGTAAAGTGACCATTAGTGTCATTTCAATAATGATTGTAAAATTCATCCCACAATTTGATATTGTCTGGATGTACCCTGAAATTGTATGATTCATTGAAATAATTAGACCCCATTTAGATTGCATTTTTTGGAGAATTTTTGGAAAAAAAATTATTATAGTATTTTTTTTAAAGGATGTGACGTATGTAAGATTAAAAAAAAAAAAGAGATTGGAAATTGTGTGGAAAAAAATGTAAAAATATATGTCCAAAAGATCACAATCCAAAATTTTTAGTAATTTTGGGACAGTAACTCTGTGAAGAAAATGAAAACAATTCAAATAATTTCCCTAAGATTCTTTATTTCACTACTAATTGTACACTAGAAGAAAATTCTTTTCTAATGACATTAAAAAATGGCAATTTATGCATACTTTAGTGATATTTTTTTGATTTAATGGCATTTATAAATTTCTCTTATTTAATTTTATATTTTAAAATATTAATATTTGAATTACATTTTAACGAGAGATAGTTATGGCCGCTGATGGTCCCATTGTAGTAATTTGACTGCCACACCACATTTTAAAATGAAATAACGAATTTATACTTTATAATCAATATGGATGGGGCAAGGATGAAGAGGGGGGGAGAGAGAGAGAGAGAGGTGGCGACCAGCGGTGGCGATAATGGAGAGGGAGGAGGAAGATCAAAATAGGAGTGGAGAGGAAGAAGAAAGAGGAAGGAAAGGGGGAAAAAAAGAATGGAGAACAAAAGGCAAAAATCATGAAAATTTTTCAGTTTTTTCAAATCTTATTTATACAAAAAAATTTGTTCAACTTTCACAATAAATTACTGTAAAAGTTTATACAAACACCAGAAAAAACACACCTTACAAACAGACTCCTTGATCAAGATAGGGACTAGAAATTCATTGCTAAGCTTGAATTGTTATGCAAAGGGACGAGAAGAAAGTGCTGTACCCATATCTGGCCCGGAAATTTCCTAAGCTCCCCTTGTTTGTTTCAATTATTGAACAAGTTTTTGGCCTACCAAATATCTTTTTCTTATAAACTGAAATTTTCATTTCCAATGATGTGTGTTCATGGTAAATCTGGACTGGAATACGTAGCTTTGCATTCACATTCGAGTTGCAAAAGTGGAACACAAAAATGGCGAATTAATGTTGCCTTTTGCATTCACATTTTATGATATCATGCTTGCTTCTTGAGTTCAATTGTTTTTCTTATCAATGTCAGCGACTACTGAGACCGCAACCCATACGGTATCATTCTATTGCAGTCGCACTAAAGAACAATAGAAGAAGATTTGATGGCAACCAATCGGGGTTGCGCCAAGTGATAAACAGTTTTGTTCTGCTTAAACAGGTTTCGGTTTCGAAACCTTGTGTATGCAGTCATCCTTGTTGGGAGATTCGCCCATCACAGTCAGGTATATGAACCGAATCGACCAACGGATTAATCAGGGCAAAGCCCCGAATACCGTGGTAGGCAACCAAAAAAAAAAAAAAAGAAGATTTGATGGCAGTCTATTACTATTTCCTTGGTGGCAGGTAATGTCTGAAATCTTTTTCGTCGGCGCGAACGAAGTGAGTCGGCCCCGAACCAGGAAAAGAAAGAAAGGCCCTCGTTTTCAAAGTCGGCCCTTTCTGTCTTTAATGTGATACTACTGTTGCCATTCCCACAAAATGCGGAAGAGAGAGAGAGAGAGTTAGGAATGATGAATTTAGAAGCCCGATTGAAAGTCATTTGTAAAGGTAAGTTTACGAGGACTCCAGTTATGGTTGTCGAAATTATTTAGTAAAATATCTTCTCAAAGTTTGTAGTACTTACGATTGATTACAATATTACACAAACACACAACATTGTGCACGTAGTATTTGCAATGCTATTAATGCATTTAAGATTTAGGAACAAAGGGAATCTCGACACCACCTATGGTCACGACACCTCTTCTGGGGACCAAAGTGACCAAAATGCTGTCAAAATCATCAGCTCCCAATTCCTCCAACGCCTCTGAAATCGCACAACTGCGGGAAGTGGTAGATTTCTTGCCATGTCCATGCGCCAAGGTGCGGGAGCTTCCTAGAGACTCAGCCTTGCACGGATTACACGGACTCGTATTGTCTTCGTTCACAAACACATCGAACACCACAGTTTCTCCTTTATCAAATTCGATCCCCTTAATCTTTAGCACCTCTTCTGCCTCTGCTTTCTCTTGTCCACTCCTTGCCTTCTTAGGCCGCTCAACCACGAAGCTGATGGGTTTCTCTAATTTCATTGGCAGCACTTCACTAGCCTTAGGGGCATTGAAAGACAATTTTGTCAGGTTCAGGCCATTTCTACGCGCTGTTGGTTTACATGTTAACCAAGAAGGTTGCAAGTCAGGATAGGTATAACCAAGCGTGGCGAGATTTGTGGAGTCCTTAACCGTCACTCTAACGGGTCTCGCCGCTTCATTGAAGAAAATAAAAGAGGAATTTAACCAATCTTGCGTTTCAATATTTTTGCGTTTCAAAACTTTGTTATAAATGTACCACATTCTATCAACGTTGGCATGGCGAGCATGGGGTCTCAGCCGGCTGAATATAGGACTCCCATGTCCTTGTTGTTAGGCTGGGAAGGGCCGCCAACCCAATCGTGTACATGCATTATTGTACATTGTGCAACAATTGTACCGGATTTGACTCTCGGTGCCTTTGTAAGCTAAATCCACCACTTTAGGAGGCAAGTGTTTTGGGTTGTGGAAGCAATTGTATAGGGACAATTTGCTCTCGTTAAACATGGGTGGAATTTGCATGCCTGAAGAATCGTCCCATTGCCAAAATGGCAGAGTAAACGTATCATCATCAAGCAAGTTTTTACAAATTCTTTCGAAGAAATAAAGGTACCATCTGTGCCCCGGAAAAAATAGCCATGAGTTATGAACGTCCAATTTTTTGTCTGGAAAGCCCAATTGAGAGTACCCTTCGTCACAGTAACGCAATGGACGTTTGCTAGTTGGTAAAATTACGAGGATCGCTCAGAGAAAGGTTCTTCATTTTGCAATGGCAGATGAATATTTTTTGACGCAGTCATGGCTGACCGTGTGAGCCGGCATTCTTGTGTAGACTTCGCGAGCAGAAGGTGTATAATCACTGCTACCCGCAGCGGAGGGAGGGCAACAGTTGATCGGTATGCCATTTGGAGTCTCCCTGGCATCGGTACAGTTGGAAATATCGGGTGAAACCGGCAGCGCAAGGCTTGATTGTTTGGTGCCAAGTGTGGTTGCACCATATAGCCCTCCGAGGCCAAGAAGGACATCCCTTCTTTCACATTTCCCTGCTGAAGTTTTACCACTTTTGGATCTGAATGAACTAATACTGTCAGGTCTGCATTTTGGGCTTTGCATGTACTAGCCTCTGCATAGGTCGGCCTTTTTTTTTTTTTTTTTCTCAACAACATAACCTATATTTTATTCTAATCTAGGGGAAAGGGGAAGCCTAAGAAGACAACGATATAACCTATTTTATTCTAATTTAGGGGAGAGGGAAAGCCTAAGAAAGCTTATGTCAAGGGCCAATAGATATACAAATTCAACTAGATCAAGAAAATGTTATGATACAATCTTTAAAACTTTTTTCTTTTACAGATGAGATTTGAATCCTCACCTACAACCCAAGAAAGGATTTAAGTCCCTCCTGATAGCCAGGGAGCTAAGCCCAGTGGTTAATTGGCCAGGTCACTTGCATCCTTTTATACAAGGTTTGATCGATGTTTGCGTGAAATTTTGTTAACAGACCATCTGCGATCCGTCCTTTTCTGTTCCTTGTACACATTTCCATGCACAAATATAATATGAATTAATATAGGCTTAGTCTAGTTTCTGAGATTTTTTTTTTCTACGCGTGGCCATAATCCACCAAAAATTTCATTCTTATCTAAGGACGTGATGTAAAGAACAATTGTGGTTTCGGTTAATTTATTACCACAAAAGTCTTAACTTGCTTGGTAAAAAAAAAAAAAAAAAAAAAATCTAAGGACGTGATGTAAGAACAATTGCACCCAAAGAAGTGATGTTAGAATGATCCATGAAAATTTCATTTTACCGTAAAGATTGAAAAATCTGGTTGCACAGTATCGGCAAGGTAATTAGCATCTGTACTCCTTACCCTTGTCTAGGCATATTAGAGTGTAAGTTAAAATTCCAAAACAGCAATAATATAATTATTAGTATTTTATGACCCCTTTATGATAACTAGCAGTAAGTAGTGTACCCTTATTTAAGATTAGATTAGATTACCTTGGAATTAATTATTAGTATTTATTCTGATAATTTTGGTGGTTGTCAATTGTAATGCTGTTTATAATTCGGTCAATCGCAAAAAAACTTTCTGTCAGCTCAATCGTTTTGGCGTTTGTTAAACTTTTAGTTTTCACACAGCTCATGCACTGGAAAACAGAGGAATCACATAAAGTTGTCGGGCACCACCAAAATCATTCCAAAGAAACATCATGAAAGTACTCAAAAAGGTCCAGTGTCAGTCTCATCTTTCGTTAAAAATTAGTATTTTAATTGAAACATCACTAATGATCATTAACATCTAACTAAAACAGCAATATCAATCATTTCACCTATCATTAATACCAAAAAAAACTGAAAAAATAACTAAAATGGAAGATAAAATCAGCACATGAGACGTGCGAGAACAGTGAACTAAAAAAAAGAAACATTTTGCTTAAATAACATCAAAGAGAACATTCACATCAGTGAAAAAGCATACATAAAGACAATAATATAATACTTGGAAACCACAAAAAAAAGAAATTACATCTTAGATATTCAGCATTTTAGAAATCTTATATTTCAAAAAATATATACATGTGGTGATAATAAGTACGTCTTAGAGTTTACCAAAACATTTTGCCGAATTTCCCAAAATTCACTACCGAGTCGTATGTTATTGTATTGAGTAAAATCCTGTTGGGACTGACAAAAGTTGGTGCGCAAACTTACTTCCCTAACATCTGAGCACTATTTTTCCCCCACAAGAACGAGTAGCGTATTAAGGTTTTCTCCTAGTCTCGTTTTATCTCATTTTTATTTATCTCTATAGATACTACAAAACTACCGACAATCCGAATTCAGGAAGCCAGATTGGCCTTGTTTGGACTTCACATGCTATGCTTAATTGCTATTAATTAGATGATGATATCTTTGTCATTTGATCAAACAGATCCTTTACTGTAGGACGAATACATTTCTTTTATGTCACCTCTGACATTTAATCCACAATTAGAAGTTTTGTTTCTTTCCACAATTAGTGTTCTTGATAAACTGTCATTGATTTAAAATTTTTTACAATTTTGGGGCATGTCAAGCTCAAATAAGAGGATCCTTGTGCACATTGGAATAGGATCATTTTCATTTCTTTCCTTTCAGTTTATAATTCTTCAAACAAATCAAATCTCTCAGATCATTTGTTTCAGCTCGAACGGATTGAAAGCTTTCAAGGGCGGCTGGGAGGATTTGCTGTAAATGCCATTCCTCCATGTACGTCCTTATGCGGTAAATGACTATGACATCGATGATAGCCCTCAACACACATGACAGAGTCAGTCCAAGAACGAGGCTTCATGGTTCATTATCAGCAGTTATGTATCCAAAAATTTACGTTCTTCTCCTCCATAATCTGTACAAGGTTCCCAGAAAGGGGGGGGGGGGAAAGGTAATGAATTTAGATCCCATGCAGAAACATACATAAAACCGTGAAACCCTTCAAGTTCAAAGGTGCTGTAATTATATATATTGACCCCCAAATAATTGAAAATTCGTATTGTTACCATCACAATAATTCCCTTTGCCCTGCAATCCAGGTTAAAGTTCCATGCCAAGTCTCCTTCAATCTTTCTCATGGCAAAGTCTTTGTGGAAAAAGATGGTGCATGTGGAACACGCTTCCACGTTATTCACGGGCAGCCATGTTGGTGGTCAGAAATTCGCAATCTGCTATTGTTTATCGATTTCTACAAAGAAATGAATAGAAATCTGATAAATCAAGCCAAATTTAGCATCGACATTTCTTTTCTCCTAAGCAAATGCCATTTATGCAGTTTTTCCTACCTTACAAATGTGGGCATAAATGTCTCAGATTATCCTAACACTTCAGTTTTCCCTCGTTCTAGAAGTATATTCACAGTCTGAGCATGCTTTGTTTTTTATTTTATTTTATTTTTCCTGCAATGTCAATTATTTCACTTTTCGCTTGCATTAGTTTAGGATTTGAGAATCGATTCAAATCAGTTACAGTACCAGGCATTTTTTTCCTGCTTTAGGAAGTGCGGAACGCGGGAACAGTTTATGGAGCCAGCATAGGAATCAGACCAGCAGAAAATCCATGATAAAGAGGAAGTGAAGATGACTTAATGGTTAAGGCAAAATGGGACAGACCTATACAAAACTCAGCGTCTAAGCGATCAATTGATTTCAATCCTTCGCGAAGGCTGCAATTTTGCTCAGGTATTTGAGTGCGCTGTCAAGAAATACGAGAGAAATGGGTGTCTTACTAAAGAGACGTAAACCTGATATGGCCTCAATTCAGTCCATGGAACCTGGATTGTCTGATGCTGTGATTTTGACCTCCTGCTGCTGAAATAATGCACATTGCAGAGACTATTGCACAGTGAAAAAAAAAACTGTGACTCAAATAATCCACTTAAATTTTGCTCTTCTGATCTCAATTACAAGTGCTCAATGTAATTGCATAGACAAAAGGCAGTGACAACTGACAAGTTCCTGGGCAGTCGCTTTAAAGGGAAAAAAACAGAAAATGTAAGAAGAACACGTATAAATATGTACAAAAGTTCCTGATGCATGGAAAAACGAAGCTTGTATTCTTTGACAAAAGGATCGGTGCCTAAACAAACTACTTTGCACAAGTTCCTGGTTAAGAGAAAACCACTGGTTTAGTACTCATAAGCAATTTTTTGTTCTCCCCAAATCAAATAAAATTATTGTTCTTTGCTAAGTTCAAACACACATACTTTATCATATGCATTTTCTGCTGATTGCTTCATCTATTATAATTTATAGCATACATAATTGATGAGTAATGGAGAGGAAAACAAAAGCAGTGTGAGCCTCCATAGCAATGAAGCCGAAAAAACTATGCATGCTAGCGAGGCTTTTACTAGAGCGTAGTATGTGGATAAAATCTGGGATTTATGCTTTTGTTTTTCAATATCTTAAATTCATAAACCTCTTTTGCTCAAAATAAATAAATAAATGAATTCATAATTAAATTCAAACAACAAACAAGATTCTTTGCTGTATTTTTGAGTTTGATGGACCCAAACCATCATCACAGGAAAATCTTCAAGAAATTACTCGACAACAAAAACCCACGAGAAAATCTTCAGGAAATTGATTAAGAGACAAAGGGGAAAAAAAAAACCTTTTATTTCTCACGATGAAGATGAAGGCTGCGGCTTTTCTACTCTCATGAATCTTAGGCCATTGCACACTTTAGACGAAACAGAGGGACTCTCATGGTAGTCCCATGCGGCTTACTTGTCACATACAACTACCGTACTGCCTGACAACTATTGTACTGACTACTACGTACAAGGGACTGTATCTCATGTCGTCATCATACTAACTGAAAAATAACTTACTCTACGAATGACACCTGGCTCTCTACTAACTTAACATATACTAATACTAAAGCATAAAAGCGTAATAAGGCTTGATTTAATAATTTCTTTACAGAGTTTCAAACTAAAGTTTGATGTTGTTCTTTTAATAAGTAATAATCTTTGTGTTTGAGTATAAATAGTATTAATCTTGTAGTTGGATATTAGAGCTGAGGTTTGTTCTATAGAAAGGTGTGTAGTAAATTTAAGGAGTTTTGAGAAATTAAAAAAAAAAAAAGAAGAAATTGATAAGAAAAGGCATAGGTAAAGTCCTGCCGGCTGAGGAGATGATATCTTCTCTGCTTCCACATGCAATCTACCTAGATACACTTAAAAAACAGATTAAAAAGGTTAAAATATTTTATGAACAATTAAAAAGATGTACGAATTGTCTGACCTATGGCCGCCGAGAAATGTGTAGTACAAATTGTCTATTTTCTTATAAGTTTTCCGTCTGTATAGTATCGTAGTACAACCAAGTAGTACAGACAATTGAAAGCTAAAGGCCCCAACGATCAACAAGCCTACTTA